AGGGAGGGGCGGGAGAGGGGCGTTGCGGCGTCCTCCCAGTGCGGGCGGTTGTCATGGGAGGGGGCGCGTGCTTGTCCCCTCTTCGCCCCCTGCCCCCCCCCCGGCCTGCACATCGGGATAGGTACGGGGCTGTGTCCTTGCATGTCACCCCCTGACAGACAGGCACAGATGGACATACTGACACACGGACAGAGGGTCTGAGAGATGGACACACACACGGACAGGGACAGAGAGACACAGGCGGACAGAGAGACGGACAGACACACAGATAGACAGACGGACAGAGAGACAGATGGGCAGATAGACACAGAGAGACAGATGGATGGACAGACAGAGAGAGAGAGACACACATACGGACAGACACATGGAGACGGACAAACAGACAGACTGACACCCACACAGATGGACATACTGACACACGGGCGGAGGGTCAGAGAGATGGACACACACACGGACGGACAGAGAGACAGATGGACAGGTAGACACAGAAATGGACAGAGACAGATGGATGGACACACAGACAGACAGATGGACGGACAGACCGAGAGAGAGACACATACGGATGGACACACAGAGACGGACACAGAGGGACAGACGGATGGACGGACACATGGAGACGGACAAACAGACAGACTGACACCCACACAGATGGACAGACAGCTGAACAGACGGACACGCTGAGACAGACAGACATACCCACAGATGGACAAACAGACACACATGTACATACTGACAGAGACAGACAAACAGGCAGACATCCACACAGAGACAGGCAGAGAGATGGACAAACAGACACACAGAGATGGACAGATGTACACGCACACACAGACGGACGCACAGAAATGGATGCGCGCACATATGCGAGGTGCACACAGACAGACAGCGACAGTGACCGACAGACACACACACGTAGTCACACTGCCCTTACCTACTGAGCATGTAGGAAAGGAGGAGTTAGAAACCCTTCTCCCTCTCTCTTTGTCTTAACAAAAGAAATTGTTTCCTTATGTGACCAGCTGTCCATCTGAGCAACTGTCACAGGGGTTGGGATTTGGGAAACAGAACTGATTCCTGTTCTCCTGCCTCTCTTATGGGGTCCATGTCCTGGTCAGGGGGACCAGACTGCTCCATTTCACTTGGCTCAAAGTTCAGACTTGGCCTGCAAGCTTGCGTTTATGTGTTTTCACTGATTTTTTGAAATGTGCCCCTTTCTAAAAGCTGTTTTAAACAGCTAAATGTAGGGCTTAAACTAGTGCTTTCCCCAACTGTACTGAGCGGACCACTGATGGTCCCTGATGTCATGGTAAGTGGTCTACAGGTTGCTGTGTGCCTCACTCACTGGTACACCCCTCAGGCTCAGCAATGTAGTGTGGTATTTTCCTTGCCACATGACCTAATGCATCAGGCACGTCCCTAGAATGTGAGAAGGCAGCTGTCGTAAAAGGGTGAGCCAAGGGAAGACCATTTGGTACAGGTTGAGAGACCACCACTCTGGTCTGTGTGTGTGTGGCAGGGATGTGTTGGGGAAGCCCCCACTCTTAAGAGAGGGAGGTATTGTCCACAAAAAGTCTGGAAGGTTGACATTGGTCTAAAAATGTTTTGGGCCTTTCTGGCTTAAACTGTCTGATTTATGTCCTTGTATGTAGATCACTTTTCACGAACTGATGGTGCTTAAGAGAAAGCTGAATGAATGGAACCTGTAGTTGAGACAGGAAGCTTGTACTTCATGTTTTTATGCTTGCTGCAATAAGCAAAAAAATATCTGCCCCTGAAGTGCCCTGGGATCATTGGAGCAGAGTGCACTGTGGAGCAACTACTTGTGCTTTGAAGGTAAAGAAAATTTCATGTTACTTGTTGCCAGCCTCCCCTCTGAGTATGAGGAACAGTGGTCCTGTTCTCACCTTCATCTAGAGCACAGGTGGGCAAAATATGGTGTGTGGGCTAGATTCAGTCCACCAGTTCATTGGATTGGGCCCATGGCTGTCCCTGTGGCGCTTCACATAGGGTCCAGACCCACCCAGGGCAACCTGCACTGTGCTGCAGCCAGTGCCCACCAGCTCAACCCTAGCCAGCACACACAGCTTACCAGAAGGGCTGCTCCTGATGCAGCTGCTGTTTGGCTCCCCTCGCCTCTAGCGGTGACGACTCCTGTACCTGCTGTGCCACTCTGGGCCAGGAAGATGCTTCAGCTAGGCAGCTCCAGCTGCCTTGCACCCACTCCACTTTCCCAGTGTGGGCAGCTGAGTGGGTGGAAGTTACCCAGGAGCTTCATGGAAGGTGGCTCCTGCCCCAGTGCATGGGGCTTTGGCTCCAGCTCCCAGCTGCCTTCTGCAGATTTGTGCGCTGGGGCAGGAGCTGCCTGGGTGAAGCTTCCTCCCTGCCCAAAGCGATATAGCAGGAAGAGGAGCTGCTGCTGGAGGCTAGAGGAACTCCGCAGTAGCCACATGCAGCCCCACCAGTAAACTGCACATGCTGGCGGATGCAGGCTGGAGCACGGTGCCAGGTGCCCCAGGTAGGGTTCAGCTCTATGTGGAGCTCTGCAGGGGTAGCTGCAGATCACACCACCTGGGCAAGCTGTGCTACATGCGCCCGCTGCCCCTTCCTCCTACCCCTCATTCCCAGCTGGCTCCTAGGACCTAGCACCCAGGCAGACCCCCCTGCCTACCTGCATCCCCCCCACCACACACACATGTCCCCTAGCTTCCCCACCCACAGGGCGAGGGCTGACCCCACACACCCCACCCCATGATCCTGGCCTCGCCTGCCTGTCTTGCTTCTGACCAGTGCACCCTTCCAGCCCGTGACCCCATGCCATGTAGGGAGTTTTGGTGAGTTGTTGGGGGGGCGGGGTGGAAGGTGCTGACCCAGCCCACAAGAACCCATGAGAACTCCCTATGTGGCCCCTGGGTCCAAATAATTGCCCACCCCTGAGGTAGATGAAGAATCCACCCCACTGTAACAGCTGGAGGAAAAGAGAGTGAATAGGGGAATCTCATGGTGTTCCTCCTTTTCCAAAATGACTAATGAATCACTGCAGTCAGTATAAGAGTCACTTGTCATTGTGCACTAGAAGAAATGAGACAATTAAGCAATGAGGCTCTGTGCTAACCTGGGTTCTTCCATAGTATTGGCTGGTTTTTCTTTTTTTTTTCGAGCTACC